GAGAACACGCAGGAGACCCTCAGGGACCAGGGAGCCTCTGGGTTGAGGTCTCTGAGAAGACACTTTGTGATTCATTTGGAAAGTATCTGCTAACATTGGGGACAGTGTGCCAAGGGGCTTTTGATGCCAGGTTGGTTTCAAGTTCAAAAGCTGAAACAAGCTTCTTTGAGAAGTCCCAGCTGTAGTAGGTTTCAGACTGAGTTCTTTCAAAGTTGTTCTATTGAAATTCGAGGACATCGTTCACATGAAGCATTAATGGGCTGATCCTTTACACATTATCAAGAAATAATTGGCTCTAAAGTATTTTACTTCTTCAAATCTTATTCTGATTATATGTCCCCCTCAATCTGGTAATGGGTAAGTCTGAGTAATATTTTTGTTTCCCTAACAGTGGGTGCTACTTTGTAATTAACAGTATAATTTCCTTTGCATCTGTGTCTGGTGGAAACATAACCGATGGGATTACTAAGTCATAATTGAGAAAGCTCTGTCCGTCTCACGCCGGTTGCAAAGCTGGCTGCACAGAACAATCCCCCAGGGACCTCTGAAAAATCCTAATGTCCAGGCCACACTCCCAGGCCAGTTAAAATAGAATCTAATGGATGGGACCCAGATATTGGTGTTTTTTAAAGCTCCTCTGGTGATTCCAGTGTGAGTGGTTGAGAGCTACTGATCCAAGTGGAAATAAACTCTGAAGGGCTGGTGGACCTCACATGTTCACAGAGTTCACATTGTAGAAAACCATCTCCCTGCCCAGGACCCCTTCCCAGTCTTTCTAGTGCTCTGATAGTCCCAGTGGGACTGTCAGGATCCTTTCTGCCTTCCTTCCGGTGACGTGCAGATGAATGTCTAACAGCTCACTCCCTGGAAATACTCCTGTGTATATATATATAGACTGTGTGAGTTCTCCCACCAGGGCTGATTCCACGCTGCCATTGTGCTGTCACGGAGATGGCATTGGGAGTTGTGCACAGCCAGCTCCAGAAAGCCCTGCCTCCTTCCAGTTTCAGATTTGCTCACCCTCTCCTCTGCACCCACCCCCAAATGCCTCATTCTCCCTTAGGTGCCTTTCCAGGTTTTGAGCCACCTAGATAAATGGTTCTGTGCTTGTTATGAAATGCTGGCTTATCCTGCTCAGGTAACAGAACGCCTCCTCCCACTTAAAGAGTGTATGTAACTCTGGAAAACAAGAGAATATTCCTAATGCTGGGGATATTTGGGCGACTGGCATTCTGGTTTTTACTCTAACCTGTGATCCTGACTAAGGTGAGCTGTCCTGAATATAGCTCTGGGCACCTGAGCTGACATACGAGGTTTCTGAGCCTGCAGAGCTGAGGTCTAGGCTNCTGCTCAGGTAACAGAACGCCTCCTCCCACTTAAAGAGTGTATGTAACTCTGGAAAACAAGGGAATATTCCTAATGCTGGGGATATTTGGGCGACTGGCATTCTGGTTTTTTACTCTAACCTGTGATCCTGACTAAGGTGAGCTGTCCTGAATACAGCTCTGGGCACCTGAGCTGACATACGAGGTTTCTGAGCCTGCAGAGCTGAGGTCTAGGCTCTGAATCAGGATAATTCACCAAGGTAACAAGGGGGCTCCCCAGGAGGCAGGCTGCCAACCTTTGTGGGTTGACTGACCACCTCAACACAGGCTGTGTGCCCCTCCTTCCCTTTCCCTCATTACAAAGCACGTTCCTGTGACTTTTCTCATGGAATTGTGGCAGTATACCTAGGAAGGCCGAGCAGAAACTATCTTCCATCTGCAGGTGAAGAACTCTGCCTAAGCTCAAAGGTCAAATGGAGTGACTCACCCAAGTCTGGGCAACTTGCCCAAGCCAGTAGGTGATGGAGCCGGGACTTGAACCCAGAGCTTCTGACCCCAAACTTAATGCTTTCTCAACACACAGCCTTGATCTATAGGCCACCTTTACCCAGGTGTGGTGCCAGTCAACTTAGGTAGAGGAGGAAACAAAATGAAAAGTGATATATCCTGCTTTCCAGTCATGAACACATCTGTGCCAGCCCTGCTTTGTTTTTTTATTTTGGGGTTTTATTTTTATCTTATTAATATTATTTTTTTTTACATTCTATGATGTTGTTGCGGAGCAGTTGGGAGGGAGAGGGAGAAGGGAAAGGGGAAGGAAATGGGGTGGAAGAAGGAGGAAGGAGGGGAGACCAGGGAGCTTCCAGTGGTGGCTCAGTCATTGCCAGGCTGGGTGCAGATGTCAGGGGGGTGGGGCTAAAGCCCTAGTCTCCCACCACCCCAGCTTGGGAACCTGGGACCCTTCTTGCTGTGGCTCAGTGGTAGTCGCTAGGTTGGATGCATGTGTTGAGGGGCATGGGCAAGGCCCTTGGTCCCCCATCGCCCCAGCTTGGGAGAGCCCAGGGTGCTTCCCGCAGCAGCTTGGTGGTTGTTCCTGGGCTGGCTGTGGGTATGTGGGGGGTGGTGTGGCCGAGGCCCAAGGCCCCCCAGTGCCCCAGATCAGGAGAGCCCAGGGAACTTCCTGCAGCAGCTCAGTGGTCATTGCTGCAGCCCTGCTTTGGAAAGCATGTTTCCTGAAATGAAACGTGGTCCTTGTGGCCTAATAAAGAGCAAGTTCCAGCTTGGGGACTTAAGTTGGGGGTGTAATATGAATGGCTCATGCAATATGAGTGGCTGATGAACTGTGATTCCAAATGCAGAGTCAGGAGCAACCGCTGTCAAGATTGAGTCACAGCCAGAAGACACCTGGGACTCTAAGAAGTGGCTACAGAAATATGGCTTGAAGGCCCAGAAGCTGTCACTTTATGACGTCCTAGCTGATTGCTCCTTCCGCCACGCTGATGGAGTTGTTGATATAAAAGCCAAACCCGAGAATGAGTCTGTGCAGACCAGTGCGGTAGGTGACATGAACTCCCGGGTGGGGCTGTGACCTTCCCTAGATGCCCCAGGTGGGTGAGGCCAACCTCAGAAGCCAAGGGCAAGGCCGTGGTTGAAGAGTTACAGCGAGGAAAGCCAGCGTGGGTTTCTGGGCAGAAAGGTGTCCCTTCTGCTTCCCGCTGTACCCTTGTCTAAAGGATACCTGTGGGAGTGGAGGTCAACTCTGGGAATGGTGTCTAGTTATAGGTGAATTACACATAAGCCAGGGCTGGGCTTATAGAAATCGGGCATTAGGAGTCTCAGAATTATTCAACATTATGCAAATAGAGATGCCCTTTGTTGCCTCATATTGAATGGAAGAGAAAAACTGCTGCTGAATGTGCCCAAAGCAGGCGTTTCTGTGATCCCCTTGTATTTTCACTCTCATAACGTTGCATTATTCTAGTGACTACCAACCAGCATATAGTGGATGCCCAGTAAATATAAAATCAGATTCTCCAAAGGGTTATAGCACTAGGTGGGTGTATACTGAGACCTTTGACAGCTGTAGTTCAGTTGTGCCAGTGGGTCTCCTGGGACTGCAGCTTCTCACAGTGCTGGACTCTGGCTCCCAGTGCAAGGATGAGGCTGGAGAGCAGGAGTTCCTGGACTCCAGAGCCGTGCGTGGGAGTCAGTAGGTCTGAGATGGGGCCACATTTTGAGAAACACCAATGTGTAGAACAGAAGCCAGAAACTAGGTGTCAAAGGGTTAGCAGTACGGAAAGACTGAAGAGTATCATGATACGAAACAAAATCAGGATGAAATGAATACTCCCGATTTGTAAAACTGAAGGAAAGCTCTTTCAGGCGGTGGCAAAGCTCCAGGTACACACTGAAGTGAAAGGTGAATTGCAAGCCATGGAGCAGACATGTCACTGATTGCAGC